CCCCACTTAAAATGTGGTTACAAAGCATAGATCAACATGGATCCTCAGGATCTTTGCATTGGGTCACCCCAAATTCACCATCAGATCACATAGCATGTCCATGGCTACAGCCTGCACCAAAAAAATCACGCACCCACTGTTGCCTGGGGCTGCAATGGTGCAAAAACGTGGTTAAAAAGCATGGATCCACATGGATCCTCAGGATCTTTGCATTGGGTCACCCCAAATTCACCATCAGATCACATAGCATGTCCATGGCTACAGCCTGCACCAAAAAAAGCACGCACCCACTGTTGCCTGGGGCTGCAATGGTGCAAAAATGTGGTTACAAAGCATGGATCCACAGGGATTCTCAGGATCTTTGCATTGGGTCACCCCAAATTCACCATCAGATCACATGTCTGTGGCCACAGCATGAAGCACAAAAATGATACATCCACTGTTTCATTCAGAATGTTTTTTCCCTTGTTTTCCTCCTCTAAAAACGATGTGCGTGTTATGGTCAGGTGCGTGTTATAGAGCGAAAAATACGGTATAGTATTGTACTTATTTTGATGATTCTGGAGTACCGCTTGTATGTACTACATGCCTTGTAATAGCGGGTACGTTGTGACTAATACAATCCGTTGTACTTTGCTTGCCATGTATTGTCTTTGTATGCTGGCCTGGACCCGTTTTTTCTATTTGTGTCTGTTGTTATACAGCGGGTTCCTTATTTTTGTGCTCAGTTGTCACCCTGGCAACCTCAGATTAGAAGGCCCAATCTTTTTGCAGGCCTACTCTGAAGGAAGCCCCATGGGTTTTAAAGCATTACTGTTGGAAGTACACAAATACTTTTTTTGGTACAACAAAGCAGTGTAGCTATTATTTTACTGGAAAGCAAGTGTATTTACACATGCCCTACCAGTTTGTTCTGGGATTGTGGGAATGGGTTTTCTCATCTCCAAACCTAGGGAATAGGTTGCTCTATTCATGTTGGGGCACTTACTGCTTGAAGTGGTGTCCATCCTGAAACTTCAGTCTGTTGGTTTAATGAATTGCTTGGCAGGGGGCAGGGAGAGGCAAAACGGGTGACTTAATGGAGACTACAAGACTGTTTGTTGTTGTGTCAAAATGGGCACTAGAACTAGTTAGCTGTCTTTATGACTTGAAGCTGCCAGATCACTTGTGTAAATAATAATAGAAGGAGAAAAGGGCTGCCAATTAATGAATTGGTTGTGTGCATGTCAGCCTCCATGCATAAGTGGGTGTTTGTTTCATAGAATGCAGGGAGGGAGTGGCTGCTGTTGCTCTTTGTGATGACAAGGTAGGGGCCAGCCAAGCTCAAGCTCTTTATCTAAATTCAGAGAAGGAAGCAGTTAACCTGTCCTATCAGCTAACAGGCATGTAAAATGAAAGTATGCATGTGCAACAAACAGCAGCAGCTGCTGCTCTTAAAGGGAAATCGTCAGTTATTTGAAGTGACAGTGTTTGGTGTCGACGGCTCTGGAAGGCTCTTGTTGGCATTTGTCTGTCTCAAGAGACAATGGGGTGTGCCTCTGGGGGTGAAGTCAAAACTGCTGGAGAATCACAGCACCTGCTGTGACTGCAGAGACCAGTAATTGCATTAGCAGCAACAAAGTGATTTCTCTGGGGCTGCCCAGATAACAAGACACCCTCTGTCAGCCTCGCTGATGTGGTCCAAAGGAAAGCAGAGCAATACATTTGGCACCAGCATGGCTGTGGGAGTTGCTGGAAGGGGGCATACAAGACACCATCCAACCGTCTTAGGGATTCCACTCCAGCCTTCTGAAGATGTCCCGCAAGGCAGTGGGTATGGATTTCTACTCAGGGTTTACTCCCAGTCTCCCAAATGAGTATAGTCATAAGGCAGTGGAGGTTTAGGATCAGTTTCCTTCTCCTCAATTGGCTACCTTCCCAGGTTGACAGGCTCCATCTGCCCCTCACTTCCCTCTACAGTACATGCAGAAACTGCTTCTTGGCTGTATAGAGTTACTAGTTCTTAGCCAGCTGCTTCATACAGCACTTGAGATTGACTGAGGTGCTTATACAACTTGAAAACCCACTGATCTGGACTGTCACCAGCAGAAGAGGTGGGCATTTGGATCCTCTTTTTCTTTTGGACTTGTACATCAGCTGCTTTTATTGTTGGTAGAATGAACAGCCCAACCTGTGCCTCCTGTCTCATTGCAGCCTAGCTCCACATCTTAAATAGCTGTGGCCCAAGTAGCTACTTTCCTAAAGTCCATGAATAAACATTAAATCCGAGTTTCCTGTTTTGCCATCTCAGCCTAGTTTTGTAGATACATTTCTGTTTTGGGGACAGCATTTTAATCATCAGTTCAGTTTTGACAGCTTGGCAAATAGCACGAAATCCTGCCACCTAGATTTATGTGTCCCGGGCCCTCAAATCTCTTTGCTTATGGACCACAATCTTCTAAGGGACTGTCTTAGGTCCCACCTTCTCTCCCATTCATAACCACATATACCACCTTCCCTCTTATGTGTATAATGTTCCTCTGCCAACTACAGCAATTGCTTGCGTGTGGAAAAACCTTATTAGCAAAGGAATGCATTTTTCAATGTCTTCAGTGGAATTCCTAAGCTGGAAAGAAGGAAGTATGCCAGCTCTGTACTGCCAGCCTGCTCTTTTTAGACCACCAGCATGACTGCTGTCTCAAGTTCTCACTGGGACTAAATGATTTACATTGCTGTAGAAGTTAGTCTCAAAAACAAGCCTTGAGGAAACACAGCATTAGCCTTGTAAACTGTACTGTGTAATTTTGCTATGTTGGACTTCAGCAGCAGCAGGAATTACCTACTTTTGCTGTTGATAGTGAACACACATGTATACATTTTTGAAAAATATGCCTGCAGACTGTCTTAGAAACTTCAGTTTTCTGTCAACAAAACATAGCTGGAATACAACTTCGGTCTGTGGAAAAACCTTTATCTGGTTTTCTAAACATTGCTCCATGCAGCTTTAAACTTCAGCTTTTTTTTTTAAACCAGCAGAATGAAAGATTTGGATGCCAAAACTATGATGTAATAGCTGCTTTGAAAAACCGATTAGGCATTCCCCAAATATTTAACTTTGGAAAGTAGCACCTACTGCTCACATAGAGCATGCTCTGTGTATATATTCATTTACACAACCATAATGGTTCTAACAGGTACAAGGAATGGTTGAAGTTGTCTGTGGGAGTGCTAGCCACAACCTGCATCCCATCAAGTCCAGTTACTGCCTGTTTTAGAAAAGGTTATGCCTTTGTTACAGGTCAGACTGTGGATTATCCAAAGCTTGATCTAGTCCGGTTTCATGGATTTGTTTTATTTTGAGTTTCTGCAGCATGAGGCAATAGATAAGGTACTTGGCTAAGCGCAGCCTCCTGTCGGTATTGTGGCTCATAACATCAAGCAGGGAGGAATTGACCAGTTGAATCCAGGGTGTAGTTCTGCAGGTGTCATCAGTGTGGTGTCCTTCAGATGTCCTCTACTTAACTCCCATCAACTGCAGCCAGCCTTGCCAGTGGTCAGGAGTGATGGGAAGACACCTCGGCGCTTCTCCTCACCACCACCATCATCACCAGCTACAGCTGCTGCCCCTCTTCCACCTTACTACCATCTGCTTGCTTGCAAAACAGGGAGCCAAAAAGGAAGCAGGCAGTGGCATTTGCTCCTCTGTTCTCTGGGCCAGAGCAAGAGGCAAGTGAACAGAAGGAGCAGGTCCACAGAGCTCTTGGCAGGGGGCTCCTTGCTAGACTATAGCCCATGGTAGATGCTAACCTGTGATGGCTCTGGAAATAATGAATTGGTGTCTGGCATTAGTAATGGACTGTAAGGGATAAAAAACAAAACTCATTTCAGATCAGAAGGATATACTATTGATCCCAGTGCTGATGGACCATTTGTCTGCCTGGGAAAATGATTTGAGCAGGCTGAGTTTGGGGATAAACTTGAGCGGCTTTGTCATACTAGCTGAGGCTGGTGTGCCAGCCGTGACTTGTCTCAGACAGACAGCTTGGCCATTGTTATCTATGCTCCAGTAACCTCCATTTTTGATGAATGCATTGTAAGTGGAGTTGCTTTCTAAGACTATAGAAACTTCTGTTAGTTCAAATTCAGCTGCTCTGTTGCTGACTGACAGCAGGCAATGGTAAGGTAATGCAAGTTCTTAAACAAGTGTACTGGCTCCCAGTGTATTTCTACCCACACCTTAGGAGGGCCGATTCTTGCCCTCAGCATCTCTGAGATCTTGCTTGGAGGCTTTCCTGAAGGAGTCTTGGCCATCAGAGATGAGGCAGTGGTGATTTGAGGGGCAAGGGGACTTCTCAATGGAGGCACTGTGGTTGTGGAATTTTCTCTGGAGAGAGCATTAGCTTGTACCAACTCTACCACTTTGGCAGTAGACAAATAACTTTTTTATTTTTCCAAGCCTTTTAACTCCATTTCACCTGTATGGGTTTATGCTGGGGGTTTAGGCCATTCATTTTATTCTGTATTTTACTTCGTATTTTTATTTGTAATCCACCTTGAACATTTTTATTGAAGGGAAAGTATACAAATTATTTAAATATGAATTCATTTCCCATCTAGGCATTTGAATACCTGCCTGTGTTTAGCAAGGATCTCCCTACTCATAGCTGCTATTGAAGTAATGAATGGTTCCTTTAGTGCTATAGCTGATAATTAAGGAGAATATGCCTCACATATTATGAAACATTGTGCAGCTTGAATCAAAAGGTGGATAATATGCAATACACAATATGATCCAATTTGCAAGCTCCATAGAAAGGGTATGTGTAAAATTAGGCCACAACTCAGCACAATGTTCATTATGGTACGAAAGTATTGCACTTAACGTTGTCCCTAGCAAATCAACAGAATATCAAGTTAGAACTACTGTATTAAAAAAAGACCCATCCTATTTCTGCCCACCCTGTTAACTAGCTAGACTTCTGTACTTCTGTACTTCTAAACTTTTGTCTCTTTGGTTTTAGCTTTATCTTCAGGCCAGAATGAAAGGCGATTGGGCAAGACTTGTGCGTCCTACGGCTCAGTTCGGTCTTATTGCAGCATCCATCTACGTGGGCCTCTCCCGTATTTCTGATTACAAACATCATTGGAGTGATGTGTTGACCGGACTTATCCAGGGAGCACTGGTAGCTATACTTATTGTAAGTCCATGCAAAGTTACTCTACCATTTGATCAATATAGCTTTTTGGCAAAACTACTTTTGCTGACTTGATGATGAAACGGGGTGGAGGGAGGATGCCTGGGGAAAAGATAGTATATTCACTACGCCCAGTGTCAACGTTTCTTTTTCCACTCCTCCTTTAGAAACCATGATGTATGGGTGGGTTAGGGTACATCTCTCTTCCCAAAACTATTTACAAAAGTGAAAGCCTTTCCAATTGGGACTAGCATGCATAGATTATTGGCACTTGCCCCACTTCCCTTTCTGACAACAAAGATGAAAGAAGCCTGAAGTGCGTATAAATATGCTGCAGAAGTTAGGCATTAGGACTGGGAAATATGTGGTTTTTGAGTACTTCACCCCCACTCCTGGGAGCATCGTGATATATCAGCAGTTACCGTATTTTTCGCCCTATAGGACGCACTTTTCCCCCTCCAAAAATGAAGGGGAAATCTGGGTGCGTCCTATGGGGCGAATGCAGGCTTTCGCTGAAGCTTGGAGAGCGAGAGGGTTCGGTGCGCACCGACCCCTCTCGCTCTCCAGGCTTCAGGAAGACATCCGCAGCCTAGGCAGCCCTGCGGAAGGTCCCGCAGGGCTGTCTAGGCTGCGGATAGAAGCCTGCTGCCCGGCGGGCAGGGCGCCCTGAAGCAGAGCGCCCCTCGCGCTGGGCATACTTCCGCAGCGTGGGGAGCCCTGCAGGAGTTCCCCGCAGGGCTCCCCACGCTGCGGATAGCAGCCTGCCGCCCAGCGGGCGGGGCGCCCTGAAGCAGGGCGCCCCTCGCGCCGGGCAGACATCAGCGAGCCCCACAAGCTCGGGGGACAGCAGGGAGGCGCAGCGCCGCCATCCCGCTGTTCCTCGACTTGGTTCGGTTTCCCCGACCTGCTTTTGGGGGGGAAATAAAGGGGGGGAAATTCCTTTATTCCCCCCCCAAAAAAACTAGGTGTGTCCTATGGGACGGAGCGTCCTATGGGACGAAAAATACGGTAAATACCACGATATATTGTCAACATCATGATACATCAGCATATCTCAGCTGCTGCTTCCTCCCCACCTCAGGGATGAAGACTCAACCAAGATCCATTGCCCTAGAGTGCTGGGTGCCTCTGCGTGTATGGAGGCTTGATCAGCTGCGGGGTGGGCAGCCTCCCACCCATTCCTCAGCTGATTAAGCACCCACCCTCTGGCTCACGTGAACCAGAGGCAGCCCTGCAGATGAAGTGTGAGAAGGTTGTAGGCAATCACCTTCTCAAGCTCTGTCTACCTCTCTGTCTGAAAGGCAGGCAATTTGAGCTAGTCAGTACCTGTTTTCCAACACTGTAATATACCACCAACTAAACTTCCTGATACAGTGGTATGTTACAATGTTGGAAAGGAGGAAGGGAGGAAAAAGGCAATTACTGGCCACGGAGACGATTATTGTCATGGTGTGCAGCTTCTGCCTCTTCCTGTCGGCGTTGGATGGGGAAAACTGCTTCCTCCTCCAATGCCTGGAGGAAGGAGTCCTGGCTCCACCTGTGCTAAGGCAGCCCTGTGAACACTTGCCTCGGCAAGAGGTAGCCCACCCACACCCCTGTGCAAAGGCGCTTCAGGTGCACAGCTTCTTTAAAATGCTCTGCTGAGGGAGCGCACAGCTGAGCCCCCAGTCTGGCTTGTGGGGGTGGTTTAAGGAAGCCTGCTTCTCAGCTGAATAAGCCATCCACCTCCAGCTTGTGGGAGTGTGGAGAAGTTTAAAAAAACTATCTGTTGTATGGTAGCAGAGGGACTCGGGAGCAGTGGCTGCTTCACCTGCGATATACCACCAGGTGAAGCTACCATTGTGCTGTGGCCCTCAGCTCCTCAAGCACCACAATGTATTGCCAGCTCAAAATGTCTGAAACCGGTATGGCAATCTGATTGCCATACCAGTTTCAGACAATTTATTGGTATACTGCCCAGACCTATTAGGCATATTTAAAGAATCATTTTGTTGTACTCTCTCTCTCTGACAGCTGTCTCACTGCCTAATGTGTTCAATTTGTTTATCCAGGTTGTGTATGTATCTGATTTCTTCAAAGACAGAGGTCGTACATTTAAACAGAAGGAGGAAGAAGATTCACACACAACCTTACACGAGACACCTACCAGTGGAAATCACTATGGCAGTAATCACCAGCCATGATAAAGTCAACAGCTATTACCCTGTGGAATCTCCCCTTCTATAAAAAGAAAATTTCAAGCATTTCTGACCTATGTAAAGAAATAAATTAAATGCCTCTTGAAGGGACTGCTGCTGCTATACTTCTTGGATGCTCACTTTACATGTATATAGTAACACTTAGGTATCTAAACTTTAAATCTCTATTGGTTCAAGCTTTTGCTTTAAACACACAGTATTCTGGCTGTTGTTTTTTAATTAAAAATAATGTGGTAACACTTATGTACAAACAGCAAATGGTATGTAATATGCTTGCTAGCATGAGGCTTATGGTGAAATACATACAATAATGTTAAGCATCTCTCCTGCTTGGGAAGGATTGGCAGATTCTGTCGCTAACTTTACACTTCTGCCTCTGAAGAATAATTAGTGATGTTCAAACTCCGTGCCAGGACAATACTTATAGGTAAAGACTTGCAGCAAATACAATATCTCTCTTGATTTTGGTAATGCCTGTTAAGGGAAGAAAATAATATGATGTCATAAGAGTAGCTGTACCTATTGCTGATACTAGCAACAGGGGATATATTAACAATGCACCTGAGTTGAAGCTCAGTATCAGTTTCAAACTGAGTATCATTTCCCCAGTTTCCATCTCAAATGTGTGTATAACTAGTTTGAGGGGGCTGTGGAGACATCAAGGGCTTTCCAGTTACCTGCTCCATAAAGAATTGGATCACAGCAGATAAAGGATACATGGAACCTACCATTAATACATTAGGGACACTCTGACTTGTTTAAGAAATTTAAAATTGCCTGTGAAAAGACTCTACATATCAAGATGCATGCAATTTATAAGAAGCTGAACATACAGACCTTCTGCAAATTTGTTTTCCAGTTCTGTGTTTCCAATGGCCTTTGCTGCTTGACACATCTGTCGAAGCAATTCTTCTAGCCGCCTCATACAGCGTATTATGCTCCCTGCATGAGCAAAAAAGGGCTTGCAGTAAAAGCAGACATTTTCTAATGAGGAATAGCAGATCCTTTTCTACCAGGTAGTTGTAAAGCTGTCTACTTAAGCAGGACTGAAACATCTCAGTCCTATAGTTTCCCCCCAAACAGATAATTATAAGGTCATGAATATTAATTTTCCCAACTTGTGTTATCAGAAAGGATGGGTTCCAACTAACGTTATCACCTATAAGTCAACCTAAGGCAATGGTTTTGACTTCTTCTTGCACAGACTTCTCATTGCAGCTCTCAGGCTACCCCATCATAAGAAGCAGGGTACCAAGCTTCCTTCTTCCTAACCCTGCATATTTTTGTAGTGTGTACATGAAGGAAATGAATGGCTTCATTTCAAAGATTATGGGATACATTTAGATACATGGTGGAGCAGCTATAAGGTGTGGAAATCTATAGGCTAGGAATGTGTGTTCTTCTCAGTTTGTAAGTTAAAAAGAAATGAAATCAAAGTTTTATCAGCCAGTCTCAGCAAGAGATTAAATTTAATCATTTGATTCCGGATCCAGCAACTCTAGTAAAAAGCCACCTGGAGTCAATTACCAAAAAGACAGAAGTCTGAGCCAAAAGAAGCTGGGATATATCCTCCAAGGGTTTGCTGCATGCTGTATTCTGAGCAAACCATCACTTTGGTTGTATAGTCTGACTTCTCTTACAGGGCTCATTATGAAAATGCAACCAAGAACACTTTTACATCCACAGAAGCATTTTTGTATGGTTAAAACAGAGGATGTGTGTATGGAGTAAAGGACATTTAAATATACTCCATCTGCCTTTCTGCTAGACATACTGAACTATATGAACTTTCTACTTTCCAGTCTCTCAACCACAACATGATCTACATGGCCACTGAAATTTCACTTAAGATGGACTTTGTCATGACAAAGAGAAAAAGTGCCTTTCTCTCAGTATTTACTCCTTCTTCTGTTAAAGGGATTGCTTATCTGCCATATGGAAACAAGAATGTGCCATTTACTCTGCGTTTGCAAAAATGGGTGTGATGGTGGTTTGGGGTTATGCTACTATGGTCAGTGCCTTGTCTGTGTTTTATATAATTTCTACCCTACCAATGAAAATTGCTACTGTGGGCAGCTTACAAACTTAATTATCCCACCCTGCCTGATGCTGCATGTCAAACTTGGCCCATCGAGCAAGTCTCCGTCTCCAGCTAGCAGCAAAAAGTTCACTTATTGGGCAAGACTTACTGCTACTACCTATCTGCATGGGAAAGGAGGGTGGGGGACATTTTTATATGGCATTTGCAAATGCAACCATCCACAGAATTGATTGCCTGCTTCACTGCAACCAAATAAATTGTTTATATGACACAAGTGACTTCAAGCCTCTCTTATTCTTTACCCCCAATAACATTTCTGCTGCCTCCAAAGTGATGACTGCTACAGCACACAATCCATGCCATCATTGCAAAGATAGCAGAAATGGCTAGTGGCTGGGAAGCAATCAAAGCACCTGGGACAAGGTGCAACAACAACTTCTCATTCTCCCTCTTGTGCCAACCACACAAGGTTAAAAGACAGTTTCGATCCTATGCATAGTTGACATTTGAGTAGGCTTCACTGAATTCAATGGAACCAAGGATCAGGCTGTCTACATTTATGCACATTGAGAGATACAGAACACAAGGGACACACTGGGGAGAAGAGAAAAAGAATAGGAGCAGAAAGCATGCCATGTGGAGGAGAGACAAGAGAGAAAGATTCTCCCACAGGCTGCTGATTAGGAGGCCTCAGTGGAGGGGACTGTTGTCATGCAAACAACTGTACTATCCTACCATCCCACACCTCTAATGCATTAGTAGTAATACAAGTGCACGTACCTTCAAAGACATCTGTCATTTTGCATATGTGAGCAAACGTTGCTCCATTGGCCCACGTGTGCACGACATCCATCAAGTTTGGCCTAAACGAATTCAGGTAGTTTTCCTCGTCAATTTCCAATTTAGCTTCTGCTGACACTTTAGCGATTCTTTTTGCACATTCCTTTAAAGAGGATTTTGAAAATTCGAGACAAACCAAATGAAAGTTATCTTCCTGAAATATGCACGCCAGACAATTGACTGTTAACAAGCTGAGATTATTTTTTTCAGTGGCAGCAGTGCTAGATTTATATGGCCCGCTTGTTCCGTAGGCAGCTTACAAAAGAACAAGAAAATGCAGTGTTCAAAAACAAGATTAAAAACATAATTTCTGATAAGGGAAAATACAACTGACAAGAAGCTCAGTTTGAAAAATAAAACAACTTGCACAGAAAGCTAAGACTCTGTTGACACGTTAGTTGTATAAAAAGCCTGGAGAAATAACAAAGGTCTGGCACTAAAAAGTCCATAGAGCCAGGAGAGCTGCTCCATGGAGTCAACTTCCCAGTCAGGGTGCCATGGGCAAGCTGCACTTCCTAGCAGCCACCCACTTCCCAGGGCCACCTGGGCCAAGGTCTCTGTCGAGTAACTTAAGGCCCACGCAGGTACATGAAGGGAAATGAACTGTGTTGCCTCATACATACCTGCTTCACTCCTCCCTTCAAACAAGTGAGCAAGCCAGGAACACATCAGATAGTGATCATTTTCCTTTACATCTAAACCAGGAAGCTATGACTAACGGCATCCAAACAAGTCAGGACATTAAGACAAATTTAAACCACCTTGGTTTGTTCATTTATCATACCTTCCAGTTTGGATGTAATAGGAAGCTAGTTAATTGGAGATTTCCTGGCTCCTGATGAGAGGAGCAGAGCAGCTGTGTGTGAGATGTATGAGGAATAATTGTTTTGCAACATTTATAGACTGATTTCTGATTAAAAATCTCCAGGCAGTTTACAAAGCAGTATCTTGGTTTGTTAATCTAAATGCAGCCACTGAGGAAGTGGAGACTGCCAGGCAGATGTCTTCATGGGCCTTCATAAGTAAACACAGAAGAAAATGCTAGTTTAACAGGCTCATGTAGCTCACTGGTATGCAAAAACCATATTGGATAAGTCACTAGTATGCAAAAACCCTCATTGGATAAAATATTCCAAAAGCCCTCCCCTCACCCTCAAGCTATCTTAATGGTATTAAAATTTAAAGACAAACTTTAAAAGATATCAAGAAAGATTTTGGATTATATCATCCCAATCACCCTATAAAATTTAATTTTTAAATGTACGAAGCTAGCACGATGTGTAGGCATATCAAGAGCTGTGCCGGTGCAATATCTCAAAGATATACTATGGTGTATGTTTAGGTTACAGAGCAGGAAAGGGAAGGTAATTGACTTTTAATGGCTTGTAAAACCATTTAGTAATGAATGCAGCATTTCCTATGCCAGAAAATCTGCTGAAGTTTACCTGCATTTGGCGAAGGGGGCCTGCCAACTGTTCTGTTAGTTTGGGCATTTCACTAGACTGAAAAAAAGATGAAGAAAGCATCAATATCCATTCATTTGGCATTATTTAAATTAATTTATAATTTTTTCTCTAAAGACCACAAGTTATGTAGCTGGTGCACAAAGTCTGAAACAAGCAGAGAACCTGTGGGATCAAATGCTTGGTGGATTGTGCTCATCAATCCTTTAACACTCCTAAGAAAGCTTCTTTTACAGAAAATAGACCAATAATAAGAGTAGTGCCAAACTTCAGTCCAGAATATGGGCCTCTGGACTTCTTTTCAGTGAAATATTATCCCAATGCCAATATATTACAACACATCAACTTGGAACAAAAATAAACTTTGAGATTACCACTGAACCACAGAATTTCAAAAATGCTCTTTAGATATTTGACATAGAAGCCAGTGATTACAAATAATTTATCACTGAAAAATGCAACTGAATGATGAGGGTAAAGAAATACTGAACACTGGCCATGCAAAAGTAGAACAGCCTTCACCTTCCTCTTCTATGCAGCCTGCCACATGCCCTCAGTACCTGCTCCAGATGATTAGGGGACCCCTCCAGAGCAGATTCTGGGGGGGTGCGTAGGGGGCTGGAGTGGGAGGAGAGGAAAGCGAAGTCACACACTGAGAGGAAGTCCACCTGCACAACAGTGGATTCCACCTAAGTTTCTGATACTTATTTATTTGGCATTTTCATTTCCGCCTTTCAGAGAA